TAAGCCTTCTGACCCAAGCAGCTTGTAGGCTCTTATACTTTGCATATATATTTAGCATCTTCAATCCACCATCATGATAGTCTGAATATAAGGTTTTTCTCTTTATTCTATCTGTTTTCCCACCCCAAAGGAAATGGAAGCAAGCTTTCTCTAACCTCTTCGGCACCCATAATGGAGTGGGTATAGAGGACATCTTATAAACAATTTGGGATATTCCTAAGGCTTTAATAATCAATATTTTCCCATATAAGGTGAGTTTCCTTCTCTGCCACATTCGTAGTAGCTTTTCAATTTTTTCAACAGTTTTTTCCCAGTTTAGAGTCTCACATTCCTCCTCAGACAAACCAAAGAAGATGCCTAGTGACTTAATAGGTTTGTGTGGCCAATTGATTCCGAAGGGAGAATCCCTTCTTCCTCTATTGGCTCCCACCCACATACCTTCACATTTTACGGTTTAGAGTGGGACCTACCACAAGACTAAATTCATCCACAATCCCTAATGCCTCTCTTATCGAATCATCGCCAGATAGCGTAAGAGTAGTATCATCTGCTACTTGGCTAATCTTTATTTCTAGTAAGCTACCACTATTCATTACTTCAATGCCTTTAACTGTGTCTGTTTGTCGTATCTTCGTAGCAAGAATTTCTACTACAAGATTGAATAACAGGGCAGATAGAGGACAACCCTGTCTAATTCCTCGCTGCAACTTAAAGAAGGCGGATTGCCATCCAGCATTTACTATACAACTTTCTATGTCAGTGTACATGGTTCTGACCATTGACATAAATGTGGGTCCAAAACCAAACTTGGCTAAAGTTTTAAGCATAAAGTTCCAATGTACCGAGTCAAAGGCTTTTTCAAAATCTAGCCAAACGACTGCACAAGGTAGGTTATAAGTATTAGGGTAATAAATGACGTCCTGTACTAATCTTATGTTCTGTCCAATAAATCTGTGCTTAATGTAAGCAGTTTGGTCTTCTGAAATCAACTTTGGCAGGAAACCCTGTAAACGTTTGGCTAGAACAACAGCTAATATCTTATAATCAGTATTTAGCAAACTTATAGGCCTCCAATTGGATAAATCAGTCATATCGCCCTTTTTGTAAATAAGTTTCAGTAAAGCTCTCTTTTGAGTAACAGAGAGGCATTTGTTTTCTATTGATTCAGTTAACGCTTCGAAGACTAAATCTCCTATTTCATTCCAAAATTTCAAATAGAATTCAGACGGTAACCCGTCAGTTCCAGGTGTTTTATTTAAATTCATGGCTTTCAAAGCTGAATAGCATTCTTTTTTTGTTATAGGTTCTTCTAACAAATGCCTTTCCTCGTCTGACAGGGTGTGTACATCAACTGACGCGAGGAAAGAGTCAATGTCTTCGTCAGTTGCAGAATTTCCACAGCAATACAGCTCCTTGTAAAAATTAACCTCTAAATCTAATATTTTAAAAGGGTTCGTTTCCTCTCTATTTGCGTTTTTAAGTTTAGTAATAGTGTTTTGTTTAGCACGTGAACGCTCAAGATTGAGGAAGTACTTATTAGATTTTTCTCCTTTTTCTACCCATTGGGCCCTGGACCGAACTTGTGCTCCTTTTGCTTTATAATCATAAATACTCTCCAATTTTAATTTGACTTGTGTATATTCACTTAGAATCTCATTATTCAAGGTTTCATCTAATTTGCTTTCCAGCAATTGGAGTTTATTTTCGAGTTCTGTTAGTTCCGCATTAATTTTACTAGCCTTAAGCTTAGAATATTCAACAGAGAAATCCTTGATCTTAATTTTACATATCTCTCAAGCGAGTTGTTTTGAACCGCTAGAATCCTTAACAACAGAACATACTGTTGATTTGTACACCTGTGACATACTCCTGATCCATTAGGTGTGCGGTGTTAGGTCGCCAACATCCGGTCCTCTTAGAAATTACTCTAGCTGTAATTTCAAGAAAACAGCTAAATGATCTGTTTTAATAGATGTTCGGATATCACAACGTAAAACGTTAGGAACTAAAGATTTGCTAACAAGCCAGAAATCGATTCTACTGCATGTGAGAACTGGATGTTTGCGCCTCCAGGTGTACTGTCTCACCTGCGGATGGCGTTCCCGCCAAATATCTATCAGATTAAGAGATCTTTTAAAAGTAGTAAGCTTGTTGCCAGGTAAATTAGATTTAGAGGTCTTCACTTGATGTTTACTTGTTCTATCTAAGGCAGGATTGTTGACCATATTAAAGTCGCCTCCTATACACACATTATCAATGTTGTTGTCATTAATCCAATCTCTTAGAGTGGAAAGAAAGGATTGTTGCTCCTTCCTTTCAGTTGGTACATAAACATTGACAACAGAAACATCTTTTACCTTAATCAAAAGTTTCCTACCATCATTTCCTTTGATCACATCATTAACATTTATATCAACATTCTTTTTGCAGAGTATCGACACCCCTCTGCTATGTGAGTCACCAAAATCATGGAATTGTGGTCCATTCCAGTCTCTTTCAAAAACATCCATCTTATCTTGAGTGAAGTAGGTTTCTTGTAGGAGAAAGATATCTGCTTTTTGGTGTTCAAGCCAATGGTAAAGGGTTCTACGTTTATCATTGTTTCTCAGACCTCGAACATTCAATGAAAAAAAGGATAAGTTGGATGCCATGATAAGATATATCACTCACAACATTAAGTCCACGAAACACAGCCTATGTGTCTTCCTCACTCGAGCTGGTAGTCGATCTCGCCGCATCAGACCCCGGGGGACTGCTCCAGGAGTGACGTCCGGCCTCGATCAGTTCCGCGACGCGTGGGTCGGGTGCCTGCGCCTGTCTGCTGGGCTGTACAGGTGCATCTGTCGCTTTCTTCTTACTTCCTCTGGTTTCACGTTGTCGAGAGTTTTTAACCACACTTCTCGTCACGATCGCTGACTGTTGAACCTCAGATCTCTGACCTCTTCCTCTCCTCCTCCTTTCTTTCACAACTGTGAAGTCAGTGATCTGTCTTTGTCCTGTTATTGTTCTGTCTTCCTGCTCGGTGCCTGCATCTTCGCAGGAGTCTGCTCTTTCCTGCAGCTGACTAGTAGCTTCTATGCTCTCTCCACAGTCCGCTCGCTTGTGTCCTAAGTTATTGCATAGCGAGCATCTCCAGTCAGAGGTACAATCTCTCTTCAGGTGTCCCTTGCCAAGACACTTCGAACAGTTCTTGTCGGACGTTTGGTCTCGGTAGAAAACACGAGCTCTGAAACGCCCTACGAGCTCGACGTTCCTAGGAACGAGTCAGACATGTTATGACTTCACAAAGCCGTACAAAGAGACATGAACTTTCGTTCCTTCCTAGAGCGATTAAGTTGTATAAGTATAAGAACTGAACTCCGTTCATCACGAGTGTTTTGTATTTTTAACTGGTTTTTAATTATGCTCTTTTAATCGTTGTCTTCATGTTGAGAGCTTTTACTGTATTGTCATCGAATTTCATGTCACATTTTGAGAGCTTTTAATGTAATTGTCAACGAATTTCATGTCACATTTTCTGTGAATCTGTGTACATGTCAGTTGATTTAAATAAAATTGAACTTGAACTTGTACTGTATAGACTCTCTTGTAAGGTGGGTTAGTCTCCTATCATGTTTGTTATATGGTAGAAGATACCGTGTTCTGTATCTCGTACAAGTGGTGGACAATTAAGTTAATATAATTATCATTATTACTAGTATCCAGCCATAGAAAATCATCCTGCCGTGACATGTCAACCTCTCCGTCCATCACTCATGGCGCCACGTATTGCAATCTTAGGAACACAACGTATCAATTATCCGAGACATACAGACACAGGTACAGAAGAAGCCACACAGGCGAAACCGGTTGTGTGACAGGCTGAATAAAAGTTCTAAACGGGAACTATGCGGCTCCAGATGTCTTACTGAGGGACGACTGCGTGTGCAAGATGTCGGTTAGCTGAGGAATGAATCCCCACATTGCATACAGACATAGATATACAGAGTACTCTGTAAGAAGAGGCTTATGCTTATTATTTTTTTTACGATTTTAGGCGTTTTTACGGGGATTTCTTCTTTGAATCGATACATTTGTTCGCCCGCCGAAAGATCTGCTTGGAGATTTGATACAACAGTGACGAAGATGTCCTCTGCTTTCAGGTTGATCCTGATGTTCTTCGCCGCGGTTGCCATGGCGCCTCTGGTTGTCATGGTTACCGGCCAGGGCCCTTCGGAACAAGAACTGCAACAGGCGGTCGCCCAGGCAACAGCAGAAGTGGCGGCTGAAGAGGCAGCCAATGTGTCCGTAGGTGAGCATATGCAGAAATGTTACATCATGGTGGGGCTGGGAACATCGTCAGAACAAAGAACTATTTTCACCAGAAAGTTGATAGAAAAGTTCTGACCGTTCATTAAGTGAGAAGTATTGATAATCGTAAATAATCGTAAACGTCCCTTTCGCACAAGTGTGGCTATTGGCTGGGACCTCCAACATTCAAACTTCTTCAGACACCGGTCCAATAACACATCATTAGGAGAAAACTGGGGTCTTAGACTACATCTGTGACTAAGCGTACCCCGTGTGCCTTTCAGGTGCTGAAGCAGAGGAAAGCCCGTTCTCCGGAGCTCTGAACGCGCTGGCCAGGGAACATCGCTCCACCCCAATGGCCAGGAATCTCAGCAGGTGTGCCACCGTCTTGGAGAAGGTGGCAAAACACTTCATGAGCAGGTGAGACCTTCCGTCGTTTGTGAATAAATGAGAAGAAAAAAGAGAAATACACTTCTTGTTCCATTAGCGGTGACTCGTTTTTTAACAGAAGTCCTTGATTTTAGCTCCAGGCGTAGAACTTCAAGCTACACAATAGCCATGCTGTCCGCCATCGACTCCCCGAACGTGACAAGTGTTTGTGACGCCACCTCCATGGAGCCGGTCACGTGCCCAACACCAGCCGTCCCAGAGTTCCGTTCGGCAAACGGCCGTTGCAACAACCGGAACCACCCCCTGTGGGGAAGTAGTGAGCAACCCTTCAGAAGGCTGCTGGAGCCAGAATACGGCGACGGTATGTAGATGTTAGCTCGATGCTAGCAGCCCTTCCACTGGTCAGGTCCCTAGCCTGACTACATCACGCTTCTAGCAGCACTTCCACTGTTCAGTCTCCTAGCCTGACTACATCACGCTTCTAGCAGGACCTAGAAGCACTTCCACTGGTCAGGCCACTAGCCTGACTACATCACGCTTCTAGCAACACTTCCGCTGTTCAGGCCCCTAGCCTGACTACATCACGCTTCTAGCAGCCCTTCCACTGTTCAGTCTCCTAGCCTGACTACATCACGCTTCTAGCAACCCTTCCATTGGTCAGGCCCCTAGCCTGACTACATCCCGCTTCTAGCAGCCCTTCCACTGTTTAGTCTCCCAGCCTGACTACATCACGCTTCTAGCAGCCCTTCCATTGGTCAGGCCCCTAGCCTGACTACATCACGCTTCTAGCAGCCCTTCCATTGGTCAGGCCCCTAGCCTGACTACATCGCGCGTTTAGCAGATCTTCTGGGAAAAATCCCTTCTGTTTTGCGTTTGTTCAGAAAACACCGAAGTGGAACCGAATGTTCGGTGCTTAATCTGGCCTCCGACTTCATCCTTACTAAGACACGAATCTGCACAGTTGTTACGTATCTGGAACCGCGCCAGGGGTTATCTACGTTCTTGCACAATGCCTGATTATAACCCATTATGGCATAGAACTGGACAGACACGTTTCTGGATACAATATCTGCGCTCCTAAATCGTTTACTCTGTTTTGTCAGGACTCATGACGCCTCGCACCACTGGGTCTGGGCGTGATGGCGCCCCCCTCCCCAGCCCGCGGCTGGTCAGCACGACCATGCACGAGGACCTGCGGAAATCCAGCCCGGTCAACACCCACATGGTCATGCAGTTCGGACAGTTCCTGGACCACGACATCACTCTCACGCCCAACTTTCAGGAAGAAGGTTCGTGAAAACATGCAATGCATTTCGATGTCAGGTTCGGTTTTCACTAGACAACAATTGCAAGTAGAGTACAGGGTAGTCTGTATTCTACTATTGCAACGTGCAAGTTTTGTAGAGCGATGTTTTTTTTGCAAGACGAATGTGCATGGCCATGTCTTACAATTTCTTAGATGTTTCTTACTACAGTTGTGTGTACCTTTACAATTAGCCACTGATGTTGGGAAAATAGTTACTATTAAAACAACATCTGGCTTCTGTCGGTCAATGTTGAACATGGTAAAATCATAACTCGCATCAACCTACAGTTATGGCTAAATAATCCTACACGAGAGTGACAGCCTCTACCACATAAGACACATCTGTAAGCTGATTCAGTTCTGTCAGAGTTGGGACAATGTCATGAAGTAAGATTCAAACTTGTTTCCAACAGGACAAATACGACTATCCGAATTAGCCAGGGCATCTCCAGTCTTAGAAGTGAAATTGGGTGCATAACATTTTTAGACAGTGGGTGAAATGATAGTTGGCAGTCGGTATCATCCCTGGTCCCAGGTAAAAGTTGCTCGACTGAGATGTACAGTGCTTCCTTATCTTATTTACCATATTTCCTAACTATGCTTTCCTCCGTGTACCTTCAGGTCTCGTCTGTACCTGTGGCACCGATGACGAACACTGCTTCAACATCAACGTCCCCTCAGACGACCCTGACTTCGCAGGGAGGCCCTGCTTGCCGTTCGCTCGCTCCCTATCCTGTCCGAACGAAGGGTGCCGCTTGGGCCGCCGGCAGCAGCTGAACCAGCTCACCGCCTTCGTGGACGCCTCCAACGTCTACGGCTCCTCGGACGAAGAGATAGAGGAGCTCAGAGAACACGCTGGTAAGTAGTACACGAAATCATGTATTAAATGGTAGGGTATCAATTCAAAACCTGGGGCAAGAAAGCAGATTTGTTCCAAGCACGGTTTTGCCATCTGCATACGCGTGCAGAACCGTGTCTGGCCGTCATGGCTTAAGGAACTGAACCTCCACGGAACGTCAGGTAGGGGATAATATAACTCTTGTTTTAGAACCTATACGTATATCGGTTTAATGAAGGTACATGTGCACGGTGAGTCGCATGTGATGCATTGTAGTATGAAATGTTGGTACTAGCTATATATAGGATGGACGTCAAGTATTTTGTATCGCACTTGACGCGAATGAACCAAAAGAGGTCAACATTTTTTTGACACGGCAGCTATGCCAATGAAAGTATTGACCATAACATTGGGGTCTCGTCACACTTCTGTGTATCCTCGTTGCGTATGAGTTGCGTACTAGTACTCCTTACATTTTTTTCATGTGCAACCGTACGCACGATACACGTCATACGCATCTCAATACTTCTCGACCTTAAATCACAAATCCCGAAACAATTGTAACCCCTTTAGAAAATGAAAGACGCACAGTGTTTCAATAATTGAAATTTTGTTCAACAGCACATTGTTGTTCTTACCTTAAGGTTTATCTGTGGTAGTAGAAGCCAATACTATGTGTTTTAATCCGCACCTCACCATTCCACTTCCCTCTACCGTAGTAGCGCGCGGCCTGCTGAAGTCCACGCGTATCCAGAACCGTGGTTGGGGCTTAGATACACGGAGACTATCCACAACCGTGCCTGATTCTAGCTGTAACCCAGTCAGGTGTAAATGTAGAACTACATAGGCATGGTTCTGGATACGAAAGGGTTAGTAAGCATTATTGACCCTGTATCTTCCTTGTTACAGAACCACCCGTGGTACAAGCTACGTGTCCGGCGGGCTACCAAAGGTTCCAGAAAAACTGCTTCAAGGCCTTCCCCCAAACCAAACCTGACTACAGCTGGGCCATGAAGGCCTGCTTGAAAGACGAAGGTTTTCTGGCCATGCCGAAAGACGCCGCCACTAACGCGTTCCTGGTCCAGCTGAAGAATGCGGTACGAAACGACGTCGCTTTCTACATCGGACTGAGTGATCGAAACGCCGAAGGACAATGGCGCTTTGCTGACGGAACCTTATTAGGTACTTCCAATAATCAGATCGTCGTTAAGCTTAGAATTATGTAAAAATGTCAATGATGGGACCGTACTTTACGTCCTAGTAACACACTACCAAAATGAAGACTAAAGGACACTGTATTAGAGGATATTTCACTGGCTGCTCTAAACACTTTCTGTCCTTTCCACAGGTTCTTACAAAAACTGGAGCCCCGGAGAACCAAACAATTCAGGGAATGAGGACTGCGCCAATTTGCGTCCGGGATCCGGGGGCAAGTGGAATGACGTACCTTGCTCCATCGATCGACGGTATATCTGCCAAGTCCCGCCAATCCGTAAGTTCCTTCAACTGTAAGGTTTATCCTATCCAGAACAGTGCCTATCTAGTTCTTTGCTTAAATAGGTAAAGGTTAGGATCAGGCACGGTTCTTGATAGTCTCCGCGCATCCGAACATAGATATGCGCTAGGCACGATTTTGGGTAGGCGTGGACTATCCAGAAGAAAATTTCATTTTGTTTTATAAGGCCACACCGACTTTATGGATGACATCCTCTGATGAAATCTTCTGAAGGCCCCCAAACTAGTGCGCGCGGGGGAATAAAAAAATCCCGACCAAAAATAAAATTGCTACTAAACCACAGGAATACAAAGTTGGTATTGTGAATTTGCGGCCGGCAGTACGTGCTGGCCTTTTGCGGAATTTATGAATCGGCACTCTACGTATACATGTACTGAGTTTTTGAGTCGTGGAGCTTCGACAGCCTGGGTGCCGTCCTCCAGAGTTACAACCGGCTCCGTATTGTCGCTAACTACCATGGACTACCCAGGCCTAGAGCCAGAGCAGCTCGAGGCTTGGAGGACGTGATCATCCTTTAGAACAGGCGAAAATCAATGCGCGCGCGGATGTACATTTTGAATTCCTAAGTCTTGGTATGACTAATTACCTGCTATTTAGCATGAAATTGTCTAGGATAAGGCCTACATTTCATTTTGGTATTAGTAATTTTGAAACAGTTCTACAACACGTTTGTAAATGTACATTGTTCCATAGGTAGATGGACAGAAGTATGCTGAATTTGCGCGCATTTCTAGTGGGCAATATGTTGCCACCAATGCTTCCACCGCCACCAAAGCAAGCGAATCTTATGTTGTTCTTATTTTGTTGGAAACGTATGCAAATGGCAGGAAATCTCAGAGCTGGCGCTTCGTTTATTCCTCACCAAATTGGTTTTCATTGTTTTCATGTTTTGCCTAGACCTAATGTCCTAGTGCGTTAGTGGACAAATGTTAATGTGCATGTGTTGGTGAACGTTTGACTTAGTTTCATGACTGATTGGTTGATACCTCGTATCTTGCAGATCCTGGCTGCTCACAAAAAGCAACGGGCACCACCTACAAATACCGATGGGATTTGCCCCAGCTTACGGGAACGCGCTTCACTTTTCAAGTCTCTGCCTACAAAGCTGCCCACATCGGCCTGTCACCAGAAAACCACGACGTTACGAACATGTACGAAATCGTCATCGGTGGATGGAGCAATACAAAGTCAGCCATACGCCTAGGGAAGCAAGGCGAAACTCGCGCATTAGTCTCGACACCAGGTCAGCTTTCGAATCTCTGATTTAAGTCTGACATTGCCCTTCAATTGCTGGCAGTCACGTATGGTAAATTATCAATTGGCTCTGCAAGGTTAAAGCACAAGTTCAATGTATTATCGTTTTATAGATATACAGTTGTGAGGATTCCTTCACTACATATCCTTAAACTAATGATGTTTACCTTTTCTACAGGTATCATCTCGGCAACAGAATACAGGACCTTTTGGATAAACTTGGCCCCAGACGGAACCATTTCTGTTGGAAAGGGTGGCGTCTCTCAGCCGTTTATGTCGTGGAGGGATCCCAACCCGATTCGCGTCTCTTACGCTGGCTACTCTACACGCTCGGGGGCCACTGGACGTTGGAAGTTCTGTTCCAATGAAGGTCAGCTAAAAGTTGATACAATCAAAGGGTCCATTATTACTAAAGGAATAGACGTGGCCATCGCATGTATGAGAATTTATGAGATCGTGGAAGTCTTGTTTAATCTTTTTTTTTGTTTTGTAATGGATTGCAGTATGAAGTAGAACAAGCTTCTGAAATGCCCCTAACAGAAATGCTCATTTGTCTTTTTTGCTTTTTTTCCCAAGAATTTTCTACACCATGTATTTTTTTAATTGGCCCATTGCAGTTCCCAATCACTCGTAAAGTAGTTCATCTAATGCATTTAACTTCGTTTATCATCTTAGCGTGGTCGCTATGGAGAAGCTCTGCAGAGCTGTGAGCTGTACAGGCAACCTCCGTGGAGGAGAGCTGTGAGCTGTACGAGCAACCTCCATGGAGGAGCTCTGCAGAGCTGTGGGCTGTACAAGCAACCTTCATGGAGGAGCTCTACAGAGCTGTGCGCTGTACAAGCAGCCTCCATGGAGGAGCTCTACAGAGCTGTGAGCCGTACAAGCAACCTCCACGGAGGAGCTCTGCAGAGCTGTGAGCTGTAAGGCAACCTACATGGAGGAGCTCTGCAGAGCTCTGAGCTGTACAAGCAACCTCCATGGAGGAGCTCTGCAGAGCTGTGAGCTGTAAGGCAACCTACATGGAGGAGCTAGTACAGCCCCTTCTCCGTAATCCGCACCTCACCTCACCATTCCACGTCCTTGTCTCCTAGGAGCGCGCGGCCTGCTGAAGTCCAGACCGAACCCTTTAGACGCCAACAAGAAGGAGCTTCTGCCCGCCAGCATTGCGGATGAAGCCGTGTGTGCCGAATTTACCGGGAACGAGACGTGCTCGCAGGCTGGGGACATCCGTGTGAACGAGCAGCCAGGACTGACCTCCATGCACACCGTCTTCCTGCGGGAACACAACAGGATCGCCAGGCAACTCTCCGGACTCAACCCGCACTGGGACGACGATCGGGTGTTCTTCGAGACCAGGAAGATCGTGGGCGCGCTGATGCAGAAGATCACGTACGGGGAGGACCTTCCTTACGTTCTCGGTCCGGACGCCATGACCAAGTTTCACCTGACCCTCCTCCAGAGCGGGTTCTTCTCTGGGTACGACGTGAGCGTGAACCCCACCATCTCTAACGTCTTCGCCACGGCAGCCTACCGGTCCGGTCACAGTCTGGTTAACGAACGTCAGTTCCGCCTTCCTCCGGACTTTAACCAGGGAAGCTTATGCCCGATTCAGCTGGACTTTGCTTTCTTCAATCCATCCCACGTCCTCAACAACGACCTAGGCGGCGTGGACTCCATCCTACGCGGACTGACCGCCCAGCCCCATCAGGACGTCGACCGGTTCATGGTCTCGAGCCTGACGAAGCATCTGTTTGCGGATCCTCCCGGGTCTCTTGGCCTGGACCTGGCGGCGCTGAACATCCAGCGGGGCAGAGACCACGGGCTGCCCGGCTACAACGCCTGGAGGGTGACGTGTGGACTCAGTGGAGCGACGACGTTTAGCGCTCTCGGAACGGAGATTCCTGACGTCAACACGCGAAAGATACTGGGGAAGCTGTACAGGTATGGAGACCAATACACATATCGGAAAGCTGGAATTTTTATGGCACCCACTTTTCCCTTTTTAATTGGTTTTCATGTGGTTGTGGTGGGGTCTGTATATCAGTCCCCTGTGACATCGGAAAAGCCCCCATAACTATTTGAGACACTACAGGTACAGACTAAAATATTCAAGACGTTTCCTTGAGTAAAAGACATTTATAAAGACTAAAACTTCTTACAGCACTGTAACATGAAAGACTTGTTAAGTACATGTTACAGCCTGATCGTAGGAATGGCCTTTCGCAATTCGTTCAGAAGCATCTTATTGTTTGCAGCCACGTGAATGACATCGACGTGTTCGTGGGGGGTCTTGCCGAGGAGTCCGTGCCGGGCGGTGTCGTCGGTCCAACCTTCGCCTGTCTGATCGGCCTGCAGTTCCAGGCCCTCCGCATGGGGGACCGCTTCTGGTTCGAGAACGAAGGACAGTTTACAGCAGGTCTGTGGACATGTTGTTAGGAATGTCAGGATAGGATCAACAGAAGTATAGCACTCTCTCTCATTTATCCCTTAATCCAAACATTTGTCTACCGCAGAAATCTGGCTACCAATTTACTCCTCCCTTCTCCCTTCTACCAGTAATAAACTTGTCAATGTTTGTATGTAAGAGAGGAATTTACCACCATATTTTTCGCTCACCTTAAGTTACCGGAAGACCGGCCTGGCCTACTGGCCAGACAGAGGCCTTCTGTAAGTGGATGCATCTCAGAATGATGACATTTCTGTTTCCCCGTTTCTGCAGCCCAACTTGCGGAGATCAGGAAGACCAGTCTGGCTCGGATCCTGTGCGACAACACGGACGGCACCACACACATGCAGCCGGACGTCTTCAGGCTGCCCACACAGTCTGGGAACGAGAGAGTGGCGTGCTCCTCTCTGCCCCAGATGGACCTGACCAAGTGGCAGGAGTAGCGAGTTTTCTTATATACAATGTAGCTATATAGATTAGTCGGTTAAGTCCTTCCCAAAACTTTTATGCATGCATCAATTAACAACACCGTAAGCACATTGTTTCACAATGAATGACAAACCCAGCTTTACTACATGTAACTTGCCCTAGGGTTCCTATTTGGGCTGGTCAGGTACCAGCGAGGACCCTGCCACTAGTTTTCTATGTTCCGCACCGCTCTGTAACAATCGTCTGAATTCAGTAGAAGTGATCCGATTTCTGATTTACTACATGTCTCTCTATTGTATGACAGTTGTGTTGGTACAACGCATAGTTACAAAGTTCCAACATGAAAAGAAAGGCTTAAACTTTGTAACTATGTCTCTATATCATGTTCTCAAGGTCGGTGTCGAATTCTAGCGGCCTTCCGGAGTCGCTGGAAGAAGAGAACGTCACCATGTCTGGCCGAGAATTTGACGACCACGACGCCGACGAAGAACTTGAGCGGTAAGCTGATATATAGAAATGGTTCTTGAAAAACTAACGAGATATTAATTCTAGTACATTTAGATTGTACAGAATACTCTACAGTAACTCTACTAGAAGATAGTAATGTTTTTGCGGAAATACACCTTGACCCCATATTTACTTACCTGAATAATCTTTAAAATCTTCATTCAGACCCTTAAAACTTATTCTACATTGCAGACGTACAGAATCTCAATTGACTTGGTATTTAGATTTGTTGTACATTTTACGCTAACCGTTCTTGCACCAATAACTTATAATTAGGACAAATTAAAATTCAAGTACAAATTAAAACTTCATGTGCTGACTCAATGACACTCAACTTTGTAATCGTTGAGGACAGAACTATGGCATTCAAAACAGTAGACATTTTATTATATTGTGACGTATTCAGTAGGTGTATGGGGTATGAGATTGATCACAAGCCTTTATTGTTCAAAAGGGTGGCTGAGGAAGCCCGTATCCTCCTTGAGCTGCTGCGCGGGAAACAGGAGGACCTCCCCCCACCGGAGGAGAACCTCCCCCCGCCGGAGGAGAACCTCCCCCCGCCGCCGGAGGACCTCACCCCACCGGAGGAGAACCTCACCCCGCCGGAGGAGAACTTCCCCCCGCCGGAGGAGGACCTCACCCCACCGGAGGAGAACCTCACCCCGCCGGAGGAGAACCTCCCCCCGCCGAAGGACATCTACCGCACCCTCCTCGATCTGCTGCGCGGGAAACAAGATGACATCTACCCGGAGAAGAACACAGGGTCCGGCGGCGAGTTAGACACCAACGACATCGGGTACATCGACCCTGAGGAGTACGGCCAGGACATGGCCAACAACTTGGAGTAGACCCCGGAGGTAAGAAACATCTGCAGTAGACTTCCTCAGCAGGTAGAAACGCCCTGGTTAAAGCAGACCCTTCATTTTCACCAAACTGGTTAGAGGGCATGTCAACTGGGTTAGGGGTTTCTCTCCCCGAGCCAAATCAACATTGATTCCTTAGCCAATAAATAACTTGATCAACTTATCAATCAATCAAGTGACAAAACAAAAACAGCAACAAATAATTTTATCGTAGAACAGTTCAATCACATTTTACTATGTTTTCTGTTTTCCGACAGGACCCCTGAATGGCGATGGTCCCACCGCATCCTGTGTCTGCCGAGCACCATCCTGGCCTTCCAGCCGTGACTGCAGATCAGCCGCATAGATTTTAGCTGCTTTTGCCTCATTCAACCATGACAAGGCTCGTGAGTGGATATCAAAATAACAAATTACCATCTTCCATAATGAGTATATGCCAAAATTTGAATGGTGTCCTTTGGACATATATCCAAGGTACCTCCATATCAATTAATAGGTTACTTGGGTACAGTAGTGCACAAAATATACAGTATTGTTCTAACAAAGACTCCAGTTCCTGAAAAGTTGAAAACCAACATCATTATATCTTTCTATTGTTCTCTGATATCTTGCTCACAGCCTGTAACTTAGATAACAGGGTTCCTCCGATCCTTCAACCATCCCTAAACTTTCATGTTTTTATAGGGTAAGTCCTTGACCTGATCGTAATGTTGTTATTTTCATCTAGTCTTCACAACGTCTTCAACTTCTGCCTAGTAATTTTCAAAGTTCCTACAGCTCTAGCCGTTTTTAGTATAGTAGTCTGTCGTCGTGTTATTCCCCAAGGAACCCATAGGTCAGCTTTGCTGCTCTATGTAACCAAGATTTCTGCCAATAAAAATCTAGAAAACGCATGATGGAAGACTTTGTCAGTTATTGTTTCATCGGTCACGTCACTGAAGTATTAAGAAGACTTTAAAGCAGTGCATCTGGATATCAATGATTCACTGTAAGGTTCAGAAGATTGTTCTGAGCAGTTGTAGGGAGAAAGTGCACTTGTGGTTTAATTTAGCAGATGGTAGCTGAGAATGTACAAACAGACGTAAACTATGCGGAAAGCATTAAAGAAGTACTCTCCAAGCAGAGGTAGGGTCGCTCGGTATTTTGGCAGTATTTTCGCGTTTTTAATACGTCTTTCTACTTCTACGGTTTTTCTCTGGTAAGGGGAGGAAGACCAGAGAAAAACCGTAAAAGTAGAAAGACGTATTAAAAACGCGAAAATACCGCCAAAATACCGAGCGACCCTACCTCTGCTTGGAGATTAACAGTGCCCTATCCTGCCAACAACTACCATTGTATCATCAAGGCAAGGGATACCCATTACTTAAGTGAGGGCTAAGTTTGAGTCGCCCATGTGTCCCCACAAAGTGGTTAATTTGTACATGTATACAATGATTAAGTCAGTGCTGTTATTAAATAGCGAGCCTGCCTGCCGGTGGTTGTGTGTGCCTGGGGGCGTGTGCGAGGTTAACGTACCAGAAGATATAACAATAGAGAACCCAGAGAAACTAGAAAGGCCGACATTTGCTTTGGAGCAAATCTAGCGGATGGCTATACCACAGGGAAAACAATTCTTACATTGATATAATTATAGTATGAAGTGACAACAATTGGATAGCTGGATTTTTTTTTTGTTCAGCAGTCAGCATTTTATACACAGGGTTGCATGCCAGTTTCTAAGTTACATGTTTGTACCAAGTTCGATGCATAGGAACCAAAAATACACATTTTAGTTTAAAAAATTACCCCTAAATGCCGAAAATCAGAAAAAATGGGATGCCTATATTACATATCTACACTGAGACGTTTCCTCAAAATGGTCAAGAAATAAACATTCCCACAGAAGTTTCAGTATATTTAAGGGTTAATGACCCGCCCCGAGGTGAATATGGTGTGATAAAGCCTTGTCAGTTGCTATAACCACCGAATAAAGCGGCCAAGTGAGCGCAGCGAACGAGGTGGCTTTATGAGGTGGAATGGGTGCATTCTGATTGGTCAACGTCACCCGGCTATATGATAATCTCATTTAAAGAAGTAGTACAAGTGCCAATCTGCTTTGATTTCAATTTTGGCATGTTGGCACTGCGGTTGATATAAAAACAATGCATCATGGGTAAATTGAATGAAATTTGTAGTTTTCTTATAAAAACTAGTTCTGCAATAAAATAAAACAGCTGTTTCAAAAAATTAATTAATCTAACCTACTTTGGGAAACCGTTGCATTGTCCTCTCCGCTGCTAGGAAACTGTTTTCCTTAGCAACGGTTGCCATGGAAACATGATAGTGATTTACCTTAATAGAACATTTTTCTACCAATAGTAATCTTTCAAGTCTGACGTCAGTTAGACAAGTAATACTCGGGTTATGTTGCTTTATTTACCATCTAAGGTATCTTTGCCTAATTTACATGAATTTGCATAAATGCCCATAGAGCCCCACGTAGCCCTTACTACGCCATACGTTAAAATGACCAGGAGACATCAAGGTATGATTTTATTGTAATGCCCAAAGTATGTACAGGGTGCTTCGGTGAAGGTTAGACATCCAGGCAACTGGATGATTTTGGAAACGGTCAGACGTGTCAGGTAACATGCACCATCTTTCGTTAGTGACACTAGAGACTTGTGCAGAAACACAAGACGGGTAGAACTCTCAGGCACTCGAGAATTGGCGTTCCCGGCCCCGAGGACTGACAACACTTTTAAGTGCTTAAAAGCTCCTGTTCTAAAAGAGCAGTAGTTTTTTTTTTACTCTACGGGCCCGTTCACACGAAGACGCTGCAAGCGGTTTCGATCCAGATTCCGCCGAAGCCGGATTCAAGTGGCTCCCATCTGAACGCCCCTAATCGCAATAAAAGCGCCTCGATTCCAAACCACTTCGGAAATGTGACGTCTGACCGTTTCCAAAATCACATCCAGTTGCTTGAGTAACTACGTTTCTCATTTTCTATGCCTCTTCTGAGAATCTCCTCCTCGACTAAAAAAAAAAAATTACGGGAAAACGAGCAGGAAAACTTGAGCTGATTTTTACATATTTTGTGGGATATACCCTGAACCCAAACATGTTAAATTTTAGTAAGTTGGTTGTGCACCTTACTAGAAATTTTACAGCGTCCAACCTTCTCACTCCGGGTTCCTTCAATACAGAAATCCCAATTTGTCGAAAACTGTGTTCTGCTACCTTAAGCATGTAAAACAAGGGATGGTACCAGGCCACACAGCAAGTAGCATATATACCAAAGCCAAAGGAACAGAGAGTGTAATAAATGTTCCAGTTTCAAAGAATGTGTACGATTGCCGATTTTCTTAAACATTTTTTACTATACATTAACTCGAACAAGCTAATTGAGAAGAAATAAGAAAACTCTCTAGCGTGGCGGTTATCTGAACCCATACAACACGACACATGATAAAAAGACAAGCGCTGAATTAAATGTACAACGTCTGGAAATATTTACATCGTTCATGTTAGTCCTTATGTCGGGAGTATGCCTGTCCACTGACGGCAGACATTGCAGAAGTGGTGTTTGGTAGGACGTGGGGCGCTGGGCTGGGTTCTTCGGACTTGTGCCGTCGCTGGGTCTCTGTCCGATGTACAGCAAGAGCCGGTCTTGCATGTCTCGCTCCATTTTGAAGAGTTCATATTCTGCAACACATACATCTAAGTTAGCTATAGACCCCCTTTCCCATAGACGAAATGTTGCCTCTCTATCCCTCTTTTACAGATATTTTCATGGTCATTGCTCTGCAGAACTCACCCAACTAGTTCCACCACTCAGAACTTTTCAGCGCTCCACTAGGTTCTCCACTAGCTCACACAACTTCACCGTTCAAAATCTTTTTACAGTGACAGTTTCTTTCCCCGTATAGCCAAGCTTTGGAATTCACTCCCTGACAAGTGTTTCCCACCAACCTACAGTGAACAGGCTTTCAAATCAAACGTTCACCGCCATCTCTTGACATAGCCATGTTTCTCTCTTATTTCTAGTTCAATGCCGAGGAGTGGTCGTATAGGACTTGCATTGAACTACTCCGTTAAAACGAAACAGGCATATGAACGAACAAAGATGTTTAAAAACGTTATAGATTCATTGCAAACTTCTCATTAGTTTAGTCCCCCTGGCAGCTTGTCCTGGAACTGCAGGGGAATTTTTAAAACATATTCGAAGGAGGATAAGTGAAGAACATGTCGACGAATTGTCCTGATTTTTTGTCTGTAGATAGCGGAAGTGATGCTTGACATGACTAAATAACAATTGATGACATGACTAAACTCTATAAATCTGTTTCGATCGATAATAGGACTGTGAAGCACTTGTGACATATGTAATTGAGAACAAAAGGATCATTGGTAGATATTGATTATGTAAATCAGTGCCTTATTTGCACAATTTATGAGATGTGAATAGTATTTTTTTAAAGATACGACTGTCGTTGGGTGGAGAATATCTACTCTCCAAGCAGAGGTTTGGGTTTTGGGGGTATTTTTAGTGTGTTTTTAGGCTTTGTTTATCGGGGTTTCTCTTTTGCACTGAATTTTTTTTCCCACCAAACCCAACCTCTGCCGGCACTCACCTCGGGGAGGGGCAAACCTATTCAAAACAGGCGATAGTGCCCCTCCCCGGGAACCATCAAACTGTCATTAGGGATATCCATTTTATTGTGGTGGATTATCACATACCTAGCCAGTCAGAAAGACATTCATTGGGCCACATGCCTCCTGCTGACTATGCCTATTCATGCGTCTGGTTCACACCTCCTTGCAGAACAACTGATAATGTGTTGAAGAGATTAGGTTTATAGCCCATTGAAGTTTTCGACTGCCTGCAGAGGTTGGGTTTGGTGGGAAAAAAATTCAGTGCAAAAGAGAAACCCCGATAAAAAAAAGCCTAAACACACTAAAAATACCCCCAAAACCCAAACCTCTGCTTGGAGAGTAGAGAATATCATCAACTGATATGATTCATGCAACTGAGACTCTCTCGAAAATAATGAGTAAAAAGTACAATTAGTCCACCGGAAGGGTTGATATCATTCGGCGAGGGTTTGAACTCTTGTTTGATAGAATTTTTCCTCATAGATTTTGGGAAGTTAGTCCAAGGGGTGCAGATCTATATCCCTTTTTCCGACATCAAAACCTATGTGTCACCCAATATCAAGACCACAGAATGTCCACAACAAAAATTAAAAAAGTGGTCCCCTTTAGTATCAGTGGAATCTACAAAACGCCCAAAGTCGACATTGATTTTCATCTTTCTAAATATCCAAATATCAATTCATCCGCAGCTTGTTAAATTATTGCTGGCCCAAATATCTGAAATATGCAAACAGACAGACAAACAGATACGGACAGACCAATTCTACGGAGGTAAGGCCACACCGTCTTAATTTTATGGATGACATCCACGCGCGCATTGATTTTCACCTGTTCTAAAAAAAAAAGATCACGTGCACCGAGGCTCTGTCCTGGCTCTAGGCCTAGGTAGTCCATGGTGGTTAGCAACAATACGGAGCCAGCTTCACAGGCTACCGAAGTTTCACGACTCAAGAACTAAGTACATACGCACAGTGCAGATTCATACATTCCGCAAAAAGCCAGCATGTGCCGGTTTGTCGTATATATACGTCGCTGAGCACTGCCGTAAATTCACAATACCAGCTTTGTATTCCTGTGGTTTAGTAGCATTTTTATTTTTGGCCAGAATTCGCCCGCGCGCACTAGTTTGGGGGTCTTCAGAGGATGTCATCCATAAAATTAAGTCGGTGTGGCCTAATAATAAAGTGTACGTTACCTATGTGTGGGAGGGCGATACCTAGTGCGACACACCCGTTAGTACTGGTAACGTCCTGCTCCAGGCCGATCTGCCAGGTGCCGCCATCCCCACAACCCTGCCCGTGGAACACATTCAGGAGTGACGTGGTGTCACTGTCTTCTGGGGTCACTCTCATGTGCGTAACCTGAATTCGAAGGTTAAACAAGTATTAACAAGTCATTTTGTGAACCTCATAAAGCCGGTAATTAATAAAGGGTTAATGCCCCGACCCGAGGTGTATATAGCGAATAAACGACCGAGTGAAACGATGTGGTTTATTCGGTGGTTTTCGCACCCGACCAGGGATTATCTCACCATATACACCGAGGATAAGACGGGACATTAACGTTATTATAATATAGTATATATAAATACTAGTCTTAACACTACTGTTAGTGTCCCCCGTATAATGGTACGGTCCAAAAAGTAGGTTATGGCCTTATAACCCATGGGAAATGGAGCCTTCTGATTGGTCGACGGCTACTGGCTATATGATAATAAAGGGTTAATGCACTGCCCCGAGTTGTATATGGTGTCATAACTGCATGAGCAGCTGCCATAACCACCGAATAAACCACCGTGTGAGCGAAGCGAACGAGGTGGTTTATGAGGTGGTTATGGCAGCTGCCCATGCAGTTATGACACCATATACAACGAGGAAAAGGCAGTGCATTAAAATTATTATCATATAGCCTATCCAAACTGTCAATCAACACAATTCCTGTTTGAAATACAACAGCTTTAATATATATACATACATAAAATACATTCGAATATATTATACGCTTTAAAACAAATATGGATAATTTCATTTAATGCAAATTGTAGTTTAAATGAAGCTAAACAAAAAAAGTTTATTGGACAGAAAAAAGGCTACAAAGGTTTACAGAAAGAGTCGCATGCCCCTATACCCTATAACATAATGGTATCAGCCATAACACGACATGTGCTGTTATTCCGCCATAACACCACATGTGCTGTTATCGGGAAATAACAGCACGGGTATCCGGGCCTCTGATTGGTCCACGCCGTCCGGCTATATGATAATAAAGAGTATTAGACACAACCAAACTCCAAAGCGTACGTCCGTTGTGATGTTTTACAAATAATAAAAAAAAGAACCATGGTCATTGGGCGTAACTTAGTACATTCTTTGCAAAAGATGTGTCATGTACAAAGGTACTACAATTTCTAAGATGTAAAATCACATTTTGATTTCATACTAAACAAGAAGTAAATAATCTCATACCTACGTGAAATATTTTTGTTTAAAATATTTGAGTTTGTGTAGCTTTCTCGACAAACAGGTAAACAATCCTGTAATTATCATGATCGATATTAATTGATGATCGTATTAAAATGGCATCTATTGGAGGTGTGAAAAACCAATACAAACTTTTATGCCATTGGTAATGCAAATAATTTTTCTGTGCATGGTGATGTTACATTTTAACAAACGTACACATGTCAAATATGACTATCATTTACCCCCTACAAATTATGGCCTTTTCTAATTAGTATGTAGATTATACCCTTATTTGTATAATTGGCATATATTAATGTTCTACTTGCCCTTGGTCAAGGAAAATACTGGTATTGTAAAATTTCCTCATTGATCTTTTAAAAGACTTAAGGAGGCCCAAACTAACATCACTTCATCCCAAGTATCATCAGAACGTAAGATAGAAACTGCCAGGTGCCCCATAATCGAACTTGCGCCGTTTTGTCTAACAAACACACTAAACTACATACGATATCGCAAACATTTCCTTCTGTGAGAGGGCTTAAAGAGACAGACTACCTGAATATTGTTTAAAGTTAAAACTTTTGGTCCAACACAAGTTCTCTCACCTACAGCTTTCGACCAGACACTCTGGTCTTCCTCAGTAGACTGGCCCAGTGAAGCTTGTCACGTGGCTTCTTTGAAGTGTGACGTCATCACTGGGTCAAAGGTATCTGCTTAGACGATGTCGGCCCCCGTCGTGGTTCAATGAGGGGTGATGGGCCCTTAATGGTTAATATATTCCTTCACCCCTCTCAAGTATTGGACCAAAAGTTTTAACTTTAAACATGTACTAGTAACTACCAACACAGATGAACTTTCATGATAGTACCTGAAAAATGTATTCCGTGCCACCTTCTACCAGCGCTGAGCGAGCGCCCCTCGTGAAGCTGCCGCTGGCGTGTATGGAGAAAGTTGCATGTCGGCAGGATGGGTCCGAGTAGTGCGCGTACCAACCCTCCCATGTCCGGTTAGCAGGGTAGAACGACAGGTGTCTTGTGAGGAACAGCGCCTCTGGTCGCACCTCACAGCGCATGCTGACCCACTCTCCGTCCAGGTGCAAGGAGGACTCTCCACGTGTCGGTAAGACCGGAGGTCGTCTGTCGTCTGCGTCTTGGACAACTTTACAAACACTGCAGTTTGAATAGGATAACTGAGAAAAAAAAAACAAATAATCAAAATCATTTTCAGCATTCATGTTTGTTTCCAAATCATAGCTGGGTCACACACAGTGTGTCCATATTAAGGTATGTAGACAGGTGGTCCATGCCCAAATATGGGCATACAGACAGGAGCAGGTGTCTCTGATTAGAGATGTGGTTTCTTATTGGCTGTTCACGTAATGACTTTAACTGCTAAAAGAACACCTGCGCATGGTGACACGTACTTATAATAGGAACAATTATCTTGTGTTTTACAAGTATTGGCAAGGAAAAAGGATTGTCTTGGCTTGTAAATCGTTGGACTACATGTCACATAACCTACATTTTTATATACCTTGCTATGTTTTAACAGAATGTTTAAATCTTTGAACCAAATTAGCTGCAGATACATGTAGTGGTGTTGTAGGTCATTGACCTTTTGTTGATATTGTTCCCTATGATTAAAAAACTTCGAAGTGTCTTGAAGAGTATTGTCAGTGGGTACTATTTTGGTCTTAGCCAGGCCTCTGCCATTGTAACCACCATGGAATAATAGAATCTAGGAATAATGTCTGGTAGTTTATGTTAGCCGAATTTATTGGGTACTTCTAGTGCAAGCTTGCTTTTCAAGTCCTACCCAAACAGCTGAGGGAACCAGTAAATTAGTTAGAGACTAAACCTCCATACACACCCTTTTGGGTCCACAAAGGATAACCTTGCAAGGTAGAGCCACCCCACAAAAGCTACGGTCACAACCCGCCGTACATGCTTTTTGTCCGTGCGTTTTTTGGGAGGCTACGTCTGCTACGTTTTTTCTGAAAACGTAGGGAAGGAGTGGCGTCGACGCACGTCACTCGCACGTCACTCGCACGGTTGCGCAAGGTGTAAGAGTGTGGTCTGCACGTTACGTCTGGCCGTGAGCGGTTGCGTGCATCGTACGTTGAGCAAGTGGGAAGTGAGTTGTACGTGCTTACAACGTACGATCTCTTTGTGATTGCAACTTTATCGTAAGGAGGCCGTACTCACACGTGCTTCTTCCGCACGGCACGTACGGGACACGCGCGTCGCCCGTACTCGCAAGTTTTACATGCACTTTAAGTTCTACGGCGTGTCTGTGTGCTCCCAAATCCGTAGGATTCCGTACGGAGGTGGTACTCACCACACACGGATGCCCTACGTTTGCCCACGTTTTTGCACGTAGACAGCACGCAGGAGCACCTACGGTGGGTTGTGACCGTAGCTTAACCCACTCAACCTTTTCCGGAAACGCCAGGCGGTGGTGGAACCCTCCCACGTGAGCGCGCCGGCCAATCAGAACCTGGTACGTGTCACGATGCGCAGGTGTTCTTTTAGCAGTTAAAGCCATTACGTGAACGGCCAATCAGGCCTGGGAAACGCTATGGGTGGAGTCAAGCCTCGGAGCGGTTGAAAATGAGTGAAGAACGGTTGGAACTATCGATTCGGGCCTTGGTATGGTACCCCCCCCCCCCATGATTTCGTAACGGTTATGATTTGTGTAGATATGGTAATCTTTAAATGACAATTTGGAGAGACATGTTATGGAGAGATATACATATATTAGCGCGTTAGGTAGGCCGAGATTGGTTAGTGAGAATAACCAGTCAGGTGAAGGACTATTGTTAGCATAGTTGAGCTTGGAAGAGACAATTGCCTAGTTAGTCAGCGGTGACCGAGGACTCAGGTACGTGTACATGTGTAATTGTTGCTTTGTAGATATTAAGTAGATTGTATAACTGCTAGTAGTTAGTACCTCGTCTGTGTAACCCTAGACCATTGGTATCTCTCTGTGTAACTAAGTGATAAACTTCCTTGTGAACTATTAGACCATATAACATCTGTGTCCATAATATGAGCAGGGTCCATAATATCGCCCCCTTGAGAAATAGTGTGCTTTAAGATATTTTTACTGCAACATATTTTTGGTATGCACTCCTGCACCCCTCAAATGTACATACCTAGGGTATGTTGCAGTAAAAATGCACACTTTTTCTCAAGGTGGCAATGTTATGGACTATGGTGATATTATGGACACAGATGTTACATGTTATTAGAGTTAACATATGGATTAATAAACACGGCTCAGCAGAAGTAATCGAACTGTTTGAATCTAGTTTATAGTAAGATACATACAGACGCTAATATACCAAACTACCACCAAAGGGGCGGTTTGGACCTGAGGGGTCAAACCTATTAATTAGCTAGTGACCCGTGACCTCTCAGCGTCACCAGCCTTCCTCCTCAGTCTGTTTTTGTCCAGCGGGAGACAACACGTATTTGTCAGCTCATCCCTAAACTGCCGAAGCTTCGTTTTCAACCATGCCCCGCACACCCAGGAAAAAGCGAGGCAACCTCTGTACCGGCTGCGGGGAACCGTTATCTACCCACAAAGCCGGAGAAGCGGGGAATGACTGCAAAAGGAACAACTCGACGGATTCTTCTACCTCCAGCAACACCGGCGAGACCACCGGCAAGACCACCCAGCTGGACACAGCCGCTCTGCAACAAAGAAAAGCGGAGCTAGAGGCGGCAATCCGCGACGCAGAGCTCCGACACGAAGTGCAGGAACTAGAAAAGAAGCTACAACGCCTGACGACCGCCTCACCTCACCCTCCTACCGTCCCCTGGCACGGGGATCCCTCTGCCGGCGTGGCGGCTCTGCTCGGCGACGCAGACGTCACCCTGGATCAACTCCGAAAAGACTCCCAGCTGCTGACCATGGTGGACGAAAAACTGGCTCATCTGGACGGCGCCTCCGTTACCAAGCCGCCCCCCTCAAAAGGTAAGCGAAAAGTACTCTCTCCAGAGTCATTCGTTTTCAATTGCGAGTCCGCCGACGTGAAAAGCTACGACGACCTCACCCCGGAGGAATTCCTCAGCGGTAGCATGGGGCTCCTCCTGTCCGACGAGCTGACGGAAGAGGAGAGACTCGGACGGATCCTCCTGCTACAGTACACGTGCAACCGTCTGGCCCGGTACAAATGGTCAGTTGTACGCGCCTTCCACAGTGCAGCAGTACAGCGTGCACTCCAATCCAACACGGGTACCTGGAGACTCTGACTGGAACACACTTAAGGAGTTTTTCTTCGACGGGGACACTTCCAAGCTGAAACCCAAGAGCGCACCCCCCACGGCGTCCGGCGAGAAATCGCGGTCCACAAAGTTATGCTTCCGATACAACAAGAACGGCTGCACTACCACCTCCTGCAAGTTCGACCACGCTTGCCTTTTCTGCTGGGACAAGACGGGCCAGCGCTACAAACACTCCGAGGCCGATTGTCGTCGCCGCAAAGAGGCCAAGAAGGACGACCATACTGACGATACTAGTAAACAGGACGCCTGACAAACTCTCTCTAGCTCGGACACTTTAGCTACAGGGTATAGAACCGTTTCTTTCCCCATTGACGACTGTACGGTACGTGACTCTTCATTGTTTGTTAGACAGGGGTTTGACGATTGCAATGTTTCCCCGCCGCATACAGATGTCACTGTTTTCATGTCACATTGTAGCGATTGCGATATTTCTGTTTCTCCGCCGCACGGCGCTGTATCAGTTTCTCTGCCACACTGTAAAGACGAGGTTTCTGTCTCTGTCCCTGCGCCAGATTGTGAGGATAGCAATGTGTATTTTTCTATGCCAGATTGTACAACTAGCCAGGTTTCTGTCGCTGTCCCTGCGCCAGATTGTGACGATAGCACTGTTTATTTTTCTATGCCAGATTGTACAACTAGCCAGGTGTCTGTCTCTGTCCCTGCGCCGGCAGAGTGTGACTGTGAGGATAGCACTGTTTATTTTTCTATGCCAGATTGTACAACTAGCCAGGTTTCTGTCTCCGTCCCTGCGACAGATTGTGAGGATAGCATTGTTTATTTTCCCATGCCAGAATGTACAACTAGCCAGGTTTCTGTCTCTGTCCCTGCGACAGGTTGTGAGGATAGCATTGTTTATTTTCCTATGCCAGATTGTACCGAAAGCAGTGTGTCTGTTTCTCTGTCAGATTGTAAAGCTAGTGCGTCTACTGTAGCGCCAGTTCCTAGTGCGTGTTCCGTCGCCCCGCGACTAGCCCCGGAGCCGGGCTAGCTCGTGTGACTTGTATTCTTCTCCCCCACCGGGAGCACATGTCCTACACTGCCTCCAGCCAGGCACGGCTTACAATGATCCCTGTTCAACAGCCGACGGTACCCCTTACTAACCACGGTTCTGCAACACTGCACGCGGAGCACGTTGACAGCTATATTCAAGTGGAACTACAGCACGTTGCCACAATATGACCGTTACGGGAAGGCTTCTTTACTCCCAGTCTCGTGTGCAGTCCCTTACAAACAGTCCCCAAGAAGGACTCTGCTGTGAGACGGATAGTCGTCGACTTTAGCTACCCAGGGGGCTCTTCAGTCAACGCCGGTATCCCTACGGACAGTTATTTAGGGGAGCGTTTAGTTTTAAAGTACCCTTCCGTGGACGATTTCCTCTCCATAGTTGTCCGGCTCGGTCCGGGCTGTTTACTTTATAAGAGAGACCTCAAACGCGCGTACAGACAACTCTACGTAGACCCAGGCGATTACCACCTGCTGGGCTTCTGCTGGCGCGGACAATACTACGCTGATGTCGTCTTCCCGTTCGGGATCCGTTCGGCCAGCCAGGCCTGTCAACGTGTTACTAACGCAGTGACGCACATCTACGACGTCATGGGTTTTTCGTGCGTGAATTACCTGGATGACTTCGGCGGCGCGGACACAGTGGAACGCGCGCCGCAAGCCTTCAACCAACTGGGCTGTCTACTCTCCACGTTGGGTTTGGAAGAATCCGAGGAGAAAGCGGTCCCACCCTCTACCAGAATGGTATTCCTTGGACGGACTGTAGACTCTGTGACCATGACCTTGGAGGTCACCCCGGAGCGGGTCTCCGACACCTTGGAAGAATCGCGCGCCTGGGAGTACAAACGGGTGACACGACGCCGGGAACTTGAATCATTACTAGGCAAATTACATTTCATTGCTAGTTGCGTCAGACCAGGTCGGTTGTTTGTATCCCGAATGATTTTGTTCTTGAAGCAGTTCACCGACAGGTCTCAACGGCTTTCCCGTGGACGACGAGTTTCGGAAGGACATTGCCTGGTGGCGGACATTTCTACCCACTTATAACGGCATTTCGATCATACCCCAGCACGGTTGGTCGTCAGCTGACGAGATCTTCAGCTCGGACGCGTGCCTTACCGGATGTGGCGGTTTCCTGAACTCAACTGGCGAGTATTTTCACGCAACTTTTTCCCCACACGGTATTGGATCGCCACCCATGCATCAACTGCCTGGAGCTGCTATCCATCTTGGTCTGCGTCAGGAAGTGGGGCCCCCGCTGGGCCGGTCAGCGTATAGACGTGTTATGTGACAATGAAGCTTCAGTCACCGTGCTGATTCGGGCCGAACGCGAAGCCCCTTCTTACAATCATGCCTCCGTAACGTCTGGTTGTGCGCCGCCCAGTCTCAGTTCGAACTCAAGGCGGTCCATCTCCCCGGAGTCCACAACAGGCTGGCCGAAAACTTGAGCAGGTGGCACACTTCCTCGTACTATGCTCAGGAGTTTACCCGGCTGACGCGGGACATACGCACCTCCGCGGTCGGTGTCCTTGACAGTGACTTTGAGTTGTTGACCTACTTCTGATTTTCCAGGCCTCGCCGCTCAACTGGCAGCGCTCGACCGGGACGTCGTCGGGGCTAAACAGTCTGCCTTCGCGGAAGGAACGTACAAGAATCTGAAGACACAGTGGCGTGCGTACCTCCTGTTCTGTGAACACTTCCGCTTAACCGCACTCCCTGCTGAAACACGGACTCTCGCCAGGTACGCCCAGTTCCTGTCTCGCTCGCTAAAGTGCGTCAATAGCATAAAGATTTACCTCCACGGGGTTCGGTTGTTGCACTTGTTTCAAGGTCTCACACCCCCACCTGCCGGCGCCTTCGACTTACGGCTGGTCCTGTCCTCCCTACAGCGGCACTCCACCCACGTTCCACAACAGAAACTGCCCATCACCCCGGCGATCCTTCTGCAAATCCATGGTCATCTAGACGTAACTAGGCCGCTGCATGCGACTCTCTGGGCGGCGTTCTGCGTCGCTTTCTTCGGCCTTCTTCGCAAGTCGAACTTGGTCCCTAAATCCAGCGCTGCCTTCGACACGGACAAGCATCTCACCAGACAGTCATTTCACGCGTCCGAGGGCGGATTGGTGCTCCATATCACCTGGTCCAAAACCTTACAATTCAAACAAAAAGTCCTCTGTCTCCCACTTCCGGTCATCCCCGGACATCCCTTGTGCCCCACGCAGGCGTACCTGAACATGTGCCGGCTGCTACCTGCACCCCCTCATGCTCCCGCGTTTCTGATCCCCTCTCGAGCGGGGGTCCTAGTCACCCTGACTCATGATACACTGGTGACTCATCTCAAAACTCTGCTCCACACAGCGGGTTTTCCCGCCGCTCGTTTCTCAGGCCATAGCTTCCGACGCGGCGGGGCCACGTACGCCTGGCACTGTGGCGCGGACCCGGCCACCATCAAGCTGCTCGGCGACTGGTCATCAGACGCTTACGAACGCTACCTGGACTCGTCTCGGGAGCAACGTCGGGCCTTTAGCCAATTAGTAGCCCACAGAATCAAACAGGGATTCCTGCACTCTCAATCCTCTTAAAATCTCGCTCAGCTGCAGCCCCCAACCCTGCGTCATCTGAAGTCCCGCCCGGTTCTTCCATGATAACTCCTTTGTTCCCCACCAGGGGTCGCGTCAGTCACAGCTCACTCTCTGTTACGACTTGTTGTTCTTTAGCTGTGCGTAATTAGCGTAGATAGTTTTATTTTAGCTGTTCAGCGCCAGCTTAGTTATTTTGTTGTTATGAGCAGAGAGTTGATTAACCTCTTAGCATTATCTCGAGCGCCATAGCTCCACATGGTTGTTATACACGCCTAACTTAGCATATGTTTTGTGTAAAAATCTAATCTGTTGAACCCGATTGTTAACTTGACTGTTTACGTAGGCATGTTTGATTACTTCCCCATAGTACACTCCTTTTTAGCTAGCTATTGCTAACCGCCCCGTTCTCCGCACTCCGCCTCCGCACCTCGTCTCACTCATCTTCCCTCCGGGCTTGGTCTTGGTGGATTTATCGAGTTTACACGTCATTAAAATTTCTTACCAAGCCCATCACACGTTTCGTCCTTTATGAAATCAGATCTGTGTGGAAGGGAGTGCAGATAATTGGGGCGGTTTGGACCTGAGGGGTCAAACCTATTAATTAGCTAGTGACCCGTGACCTCTCAGCGTCACCAGCCTTCCTCCTCAGTCTGTTTTTGTCCAGCGGGAGAAAAAAACGTATTTGTCACCCTCCCACCCTCCCGTGGATTTGTCGAGTTTACACCTCATTAAAATTTCTTACCAAGCCCATCACACGTTTCGTCCTTTATGAAATCAGATCTGTGTGGAAGGGAGTGCAGATAATTCCTGAAATATTACATTTTTTCACCTGAACGTTGACCAGCGGCGGCTGGTAGCTGGTTGGTCTGTACAGCAGCCGCTGGGTGCGGTCTGTGTGAATGTCTCCCAGGAACAACTCTTCCGTCACGTGTCCATCACGTGAGTCCTGTCTCTGCTCCACGCGCAGCAGCTGCAGCTCGTGCAGCACGAAGTCCAGACCGACGGCACAGTCACGGTCAGCTTGGCGGGACAGAACTTCATAGGGTACGTCGTTGTGCCTACATGAAATTTTTTTAACAAGATTCTATCATCATGTTTTAAGTAAAGACTTTTGGTCCAACACAAAAAAAATTCTCTCACCTAGAGCTTTCGACCAGTCACATACATCATATCAGGGCCCATCACCCTTCATTGAACCGAGACGGGGGCCGACAGTGTTGATGTCACACTTCAAAGAAGCCACGTGACAAGCTTCACTTGGTCAGTCTACTGAGGAAGACCAGAGTGACTGGTCGAAAGCTCTAGGTGAGAGAATTTTTTTGTGTTGGACCAAAAGTCTTAACTTTAAACATGTAACTACCACCACAGATGAACTTTCATGATAGGAAAATTTAATCAGTAGCCCTATATGGAAGTGCTTGTGTATTTTGTTAAATTCATGTTTCGGCATCGATAAATAAAGAAAACAAATCATACTTAATCTTACTTAATAATATCTACTTTACAAGAAGAGATTGAATTATTTTTTTTGGCTTATCTGTGTGTCTGTTACGTTTTCAGTGCAACGACATAATTTCATAAACAACGACAACGACGACCAATAATTCGCTCTCTTGAGACGTGAAGTAACGATGAAGTGTGAACTAGAAAGGCCGACATTTGCTTTGGAGCATTGATGTAACTATAGAAGAAAGTGACATTTGCTTTGGAGCAAATGTGCCGGATGGCTTCACCACATTTTACGACAAGGCAGTGAAAGAAAGAGAAACACAAGGGAAAACAATTCTTTACATTGATATAACTATAGAAGAAAGTGACAACAGTTGGATAGCTATCCCCTACATGTACATTATTGATTAGGGTTTTTAATTGCTTACTTTAAAGCATTCCAATGCTGGAGCAGGAAAGCTTAACATACCTACCAAAACACTTGAATGCAGTTCATAATGTCAATATGACCGTGTTTATGTGAAGTCACCCAAACCGCGATTCGGGTAACTCGCATTCCACACATCTGGTCCACGTGCCATACATTATGGTTCTTGAGTTATCCTCCTTCGAAATTAAATCTTTTAACAAATGCGCCTGCAGTTCCAGAACAAGCCGCCCAAACTAGGGGGCCCAAACTCACGTCACTTCTTCCCCAGTACAAGAGCTACCCACCATTCAAATTTCGTGACCCTAGCATCTCTAGGTCATGAGATATCAAAACCGGAAGTTCAGCTGCAGTACCGTAGGAAGCCGATAGGGGGCCCAAAATCTAATCATTTCTAGGTCTCATCAAGACCTACTCACCTACTAAATATTAAGCCTTCTTAACTTATCGTGTTTATAGACACACACACACACACACACACACACACACACACACACACACACACACACACACACACACACATGAATGCCCCTCAAAACATAACCTTCTTGGCGAAGGTAACTAATGCTTGTAGGCAGTGATAAGAGAGCGCCTACCATTGGTGGTCGGACGCGATGAACCCCGGACACGTGGCATTGACTCGTGCTGATAGGTACGACGCGACCTCCTGGCTGTGTGACGTCACGGACACATCCTCCAACCAGTAATCAGCTTCGGTCCCACCGCGAGTCAGCCATGACACTTGCCTGGCACGGTAGTTTCAGATTATTTTTATTAATAAAAACATAACAAAGACAGTGTGACGCTGCACTCAAGTTTATAATTTATAACAGCGCCACACACAAAAAAGTACAATTAACATTTAAATATTACACAAAGACACCCCAAGACATTAAAAAAATGCTGATGCTAACAAGGTTATTTGAAAAATAAGCTTACGTGTTAACCTCCTATATCTCATTGGCGGAAACATATCCGCCAGTCAGAGCTAGGAGGAGAATTTAGGCCCATTAACACATGTAGTATTTGGACTAAGAAAAAGGCTCACACGTGCACACTCAAACCTCCCTCCACACATTATCTGACCGTATTAAACTTCATGGAGGTGTCAGCATCTGGTTGTCTCTGATATTTGAAGATCAGTTTGAAACAGACGTCTGTTTATTTCTGAACATCTGTTTGTTGCTTACTAAAACAATTTCATATTTGCCTGTAAGGACTCGTGCTGTTGGGCGACAGTGAAGAGTGAAAAGAAAAGTGTATGAAAAGTTATGAATGAATTTGCACAATTTACATTATCAAGAAGGAAAATCACTAGTGGTAAGAGATTGATCACCTTAAAATCATGACATGTGCATGTTGCGTATGGATGATTAAAACGTGATTTGTCGATGTAACCTTGTGATAAGTGCATAGACCTAAGGCCACAGCAAGTAAATTTTATGGATGACATCCTCCGCAGACTCCAAATCTAATGCGAGCGGGCGAAAAAAAATAAGGCGAGCCGAAAAAAACAAGGTTCTTACATTCTCAAATTTTGACTCAGTCATTGTGAAAATGGTTTTGATTCAGTGAAAACATCACATATACACAGCCAACATCACATATCACTGCATAAAAGTAAGTAACAAAACATTAAATCAGAGCATTTTCTTGTCTCCTGTCTTCATATTTAGCTGCCATCCAGCTTCCGGCATGGCAACAGACGTATTTGCCCATTGTCGGCATGTTGACCACTGTCAGAAGGCAACAAATTTTTTTTTTTTCAAAATCAGGCGAAAATTAATGCGAAAATTAATGCTGATGTCATCCATAAAAATGACTTGCTGTGGCCTAAACACAACTACTAGTGTAAATGTTTCTACACTACCTGAGTATGATTGCCCCACGTGAAGTCACTGTGTACAGTGGACTGGCGCAGTGCTGATCGGCGTAGAAGAACTGGTAGTTGTGAAAGTCCAGGTTCTCTGTGAAGGTGTACGACCTGGCGGTGAACTGTGGTCCGGGGCGAACTTCACATCTACAGAGGAAAGTCAACACGCACAAGTTTGTTTGTTTGTTTGTTTGTTTGTTTGTTTGTTTGTTTGTTTCGCATAACCGGTAAATTTACGCATTTAGGCGTAGCACACCAGTTTTGTAAATGTACGTACATGGTTACAAGCTGCGTAAGACCAGACTGTAAGGTTTGAACCACTCACACCGGGAAGGTCCCCTACTCTTTTCGATAAGTGCGGTAGGTTCTTTAACGTGCGTGGGGTGTGACTCTCCCCAAACACGGGACCTCCATTTAACGTCCTATCCGAGGGACGTCACTAACCGAAGCTAGGTACTCATTTCCACCTGAAATCAAGTCCCTCGAAATTGAGTTTACAGAATTGAATTTACCACATGCAAATGCACTTTGTTTGTTTCGCATAACCGGTAAACCGCCTTTAGGCGTAACATACTAACACACAAGCTACGTAAGGTTTGAACCACTCACTCCGGGAAGGTCCCCTACTCTACAAGTGTGGTGGGTTCTTTAACGTGCGTGGGGTGTGACTCTCCCCAAACACGGGACCTCCATTTAACGTCCTATCCGAGGGACGTCCCTACCCGAAGCTAGGTACTCATTTCCACCTGAGTGAAGTGAGGAAAGGCGTGTTAAGTGCTTTCCTCCCAATCAGGTCGGTGACATGGGCAGGATTCGAACCCGCAACCTCTTGGGTATGAGCCGAACGCGCTACCGACTGCGCCACACGACCCCAAGTTTCTATGTTTTGAAATAAATGGATGGAAAACGTCGGATACCTCGCTATGTACTGCCGAAAATTCACAAACCAGCTTTGTATTACTGTGGTTTAGTAGCATTTTTATTTTTTTTTTCAATTTTTGGCCGGAATTTTTTTTAATTCGCCCGCGCGCACTAGTTTGGGGGTCTTGAGAGGACGTCATCCATAAAATTAAGACAGTGTGGCCTTAGACACGGGACAGGTTATAGCTGGCTTGACGAATTCGCTGCGTTGTTTATTTACGTTTGGTGACCGACCGGAAAAGCAGAGACCCGTAAACCGGCGCAGTCCAATATCGTGACTTCTGTTGCGTGACGAAGTCACTAGGTAGCCTCCACCACCAGGCCTTTCTACGGGAATAAGGATCGTAGAATTCGGCAAAAAAAGAGAATCAAATGGGCCAAGGGGAGGTACATGTAGTTTCGTTCTACGCGCGGCATAGTCAAACCTACAAGGCGGCCAAACTCCCCCGGCAAATATTCTCCTATATATAGCCAGCGTAGTTAGTCTGGTAGAGACTAGTCACTAGGAATGCCAATGCACAACAGAAACGCTACGGGTTCGGTTGCCTTCCTAGCCTCTACCAGGCATCGCGGATCGCTGGAAAAATAGTAGAAATTGGCCGAAATAAAGGGATAGTATACCAGAGAAGATCAGGCCAGAGTGAAGATCCAATTTGCGACCCACGGGTATGCTATCCCTTTATTTCGGCCAATTTCTACTATTTTTACAGCGATTCCGCGGTGCCTGGTAGAGGCTATTGCCTTCCAGCATCTGCTTTGAGATTGTCGGTCGCCCCATCATGCTATGCGGAGATGTTATTAGATGGGTTTCTATGATGCTAGTGTACCTACATTTTAACACTGTTAGATTTCCACAGCATCTGGTAGAATGCGAATGAAGCTATTGGCAGCGCCCTTTAGAAAGTACCTCTCCAGGGGGCTACTTTGACATTCCCAGGGTGCCTTTCGTACAAGCTTAGGCCAGACTGACTTCATTTTATGGATGACGTCCTCTGAAGACCCCCAAACTAGTGCGCGCGGGCGAATAAAAAAAAATCCGGCCAAAAATATAAATGCTACCAAACCACAGGAATACAAAGCTGGTATTGTGAATATGTGGCAGTACTTAGCGACATACACGGCAAGCCGGCACGTGCTGGCTTTTTGCGGAATTTACGAAATCATGAATGGGCACTGTACGTATGTACTAAGTTCTTCAGTCGTGGAGCGTCGTATTGTCGCTAACTACCATGGGCTACCCGGGCCTAGAGTCAGGCTAGAGCCTCGGTGGACGTGATTTTTTTATTGTTTTTTTTTTTTTTTGTTTACCTAAGGAAAACATATTGTTTTTACTCAGTTTCTTCCTCCTCTAGCCAATGACGTGATTTGTTGACGTCACAATGTTGTTGTCACCATGGTGACTGGTGTTGGGTTACATAATGTTGCAATTTCATGGTCTGCTCTGCTCCTGTCATGACATACTAGTAGTACATGTATGTGAGTGTGTTTGAGTAAAAATTAACAGGGCAGACCATGTCCGAAGGTAAACATTATGCATTTGATTTGCAAATGTTACTTCTCTCTCTTTTTTTTTTTTTTTTTGAGAACAGGCGAAACTCAATGCGCGCGTGGACGTCATCCATGAAATTAAGGCGTTGTGGCCCTATAGCTATGCCCAGTGGAGCCGTGTCATCGGCATGCAGGAGGGTTCTGTCACGGACTCGTGATGACTGCACCGCCTGCCTCCCGTCTGCAGGTCCCGGTGATAAATCACGCCGCCGCCGCGCGCTGTTGGGCCCGCTTATTGGTTTTGCTGGCCCCGGGATGGTGGCGGGGTCGACTAGTGTAACCCAAGATCTTAAAACCAATATTTGTCCTCGGACAGTATTGCTATCACCCAGGCCTCGACGATAAATAAGAGCGCCTAGCTGTCAGCGGTATTAGAAGACGTGTCCCTGTAGCCTCTACCAGACACCGCGGATCGCTGGAAAAATAGAAATTGGCCGAAATAAAGGATAATATACCAGGGGAGGTAGCCGGCCAGAGAAGATCCAATTCGCGACCCACGGGTATATTATTCCTTTATTTCGGCCAATTTCTACTATTTTTCCAGCGATCCGTGGTGCCTGGTAGAGGCTAGGGTCCCTGCTGAATTGTCAGATATATAAATCTCTCCAAACCTCCCATTGTTGTCCACGTGCCAGGGGTGGACCAGACAGATAAAAATGTCGTTGCTGGTGCCATCAATACTCACCTAGCGTCCATCTGCCAGGCACTGCCTCCACTTGATCTCAACAACCTCCCAACTTTCTTGCCGGGCACCAAGCCCCCTCAGATTGATGAGTGGCAGATGTATCATCGCCTTAAGAGGATTAAAGCATCTAAAGCACCTGGTCCTGACGACATCCCACCAACCCTCATCAAGGAGTTTGCCTTCGAACTTGCCACACCTCTCACCGACATCACAAATACTTCTTTGCGGCAGGGCCGAGTACCACCCGAGTGGAGGGATGCGACCGTTATTCCAGTCCCGAAGGAGCAACCTGCGGACCTAGATAAAATCAGACCAGTGTCGTTGACATCACAGTTTGCTAAGGTAGTGGAGGGTTTTGTTCTGTCATGGCTCCTCCAAGATATTCTACCAGCGGTTGATCCCAACCAGTTTGGAAACCTCAGGGGAATTTCTACTACACACTGCTTGATAGAAATTCTCGACTTCTTCTACAAAGGAGCAGAGATGAGACAATCCATCAGCAGCCTGGTGCTCACAGACTTCAGTAAAGCGTACGATAGAGTGTGCCATACAACCGCTGTCACAAAACTCCTGCAGATGGGAGCACGGCCCTCACTGCTTCCATGGGTGTGCAGTTTTATTTCACACCGAAGACAACGGGTCCGCTACCAACATGCCCTGTCACACTGGGAACACCTTACCTGTGGAGTGGCTCAGGGGACCCTGGTAGGTCCCCTGATTTTCACGGCTATGATCAACGATGCCGGCACACCGCACAACGCTTACTGGAAGTATGTTGACGACCTTAACTTGGGAGAAAGTCGAAAGGTCAGTGCACCCTCTACTCTACAGCAAGACTTGGATGGCCTGGACGAATGGTCTCACAAGAACTATATGCAATTGAATCCCAAAAAGTGTAAGGTCATGCATATCTGTTTTGTGCAACAACCACCACCGTTCCCTGTCCTCACACTGGGGGACAACTGCTTTCTGTAGTGACCCAGGCCAAACTGCTCGGTTTGCAGATTCGTTCCGACCTCCGATGGGATGCACAGGTCGACAGTATGGTCACCAAGAGCAGCAAGCGTCTATTCCTTCTGTGTAGACTGCGCCGTGCGGGCCTCCCAGCTAACGACCTAACTACCATCTACTGTGGCTACATTAGACCTCTTCTCGAATATGCAGCTCCTGTCTGGAATGCCGCCCTCAACAACAAACAAATCACTAAGCTGGAAAGAGTACAAACCAGAGCGTGTAGGATCATCCTGGGCCGTAGGTACACATCTTACCGGGACGCTTTGCAGCACCTTAACCTACAATCACTTACTACTCGCAGACGTGACTTGTGCTACAACTTCGCCATCAAAGCCAGACAGTCGCCGCGGTTCTGCTCCTGGCTACCACAGACCCGAGGCCAGCAGCACGGTAGACACTTACGGAACTCTTCACATTACCATCAAGCCAGCGGAACTAAGCGATACGTTACTAGCGCAAAACCCTCGCTGGCAAAACTCCTTGTTAGTGTGTAAATGAAATATTATGATTATATCCTTGTCGAACCCTTCCTGTCGACGTCGACAATAGCTGTTGCACTTTGCTGCTAGTTCATTGTCTATTTTAACCTGTATATATTTTAATCTGTCGGAATTTCCTTTTAAAATGTTTGTAATGGAACGGTGCAATTCAGTTACTACTGCAAGGCCGTTTTTATTGTGAATAATAATAAACCAATGATGATGATGATGATGATGATGAAATTAAGCAGCACCCATCCGTAATCATGCGATTTTGTGCCAATGACAGGTCACATCTAACATAGTAAAATCCTGATATTTCCAGGAGGGCCTGCATGCCCTTTTTCGTAAGGCGTAATCAGGCCTTTTTAGACTTGGTAATTCGTAGGCAGCCTACGCAAAAATCAAGTGAACGTAAATCGTAATGGGACATTAGCCGCAAATCGTTAAGTCGTAATCAGCTCTGAGACGTTAACGTCATTCGTAATCGGCGGCGAAAATTTTGCGCAATTCCTAATCACTAGATATCCCCCCATGCAGGCCCTCTTCCAGGGTATTGTGTGACTTCGGGAAGTGCAGTTGTGACAACAGACTGTTCCTGATTAGAAAAACTGACAATGACTGATAGGAATAATCTAAGATACCAAATCACTTCTTTCTTTTAATCTACCGTGTAATGTTACCAATTAAGGTGTGCCTTCACCCTAAATTCTCAACTGACGCAAATCAGTATGCAGAGCCGACCTGTGGTCAACCGAAGGAGGTCAGGAGGCGACCATCATCACAGTAGCCTGGTATCCAGTCTTTGGGGGTGGTGGGGTGTTCAGGCAGGTTGTGCCTTCGGGGGCTCTGATAGCTTCCCCCGCCCAGTGCAACAGGCCGTCCCGGTAGGAGTGTTACGCTGATAAGAGACTGTATGCTTGGGGATTTGGTTTTTTTTTTTCGGAGGGCTAATCAATCTCTCGTGAAATACACACCGGGAAACCTATGTGAGGCGGACGGGACAGAGCTCTAGCGGCCCCGACCACGATCAGACTGGATACCAGGCTATCATCACAGAGGGGTGCCGTGGGAGGTCAAGAAATAGAGATCAGCCCAGGCTTCTGGTTTGTCAAACATATTGGCAGTTTCCAGTGGATTGTTTTTGGATCTTTAAAACACAAACCCAGTCTAACGAAACATTTGTAAGAAAGACATAACATTTTGATGGTCTTTATATCATTATGCTCTGTTGGACAAGTCATGCAGTAGCACTAGCAGTACCTGGAGGAGACCCACTGCCCGGTGATATTAGGAGGCATGGGCGCCACCACCGAGGCCCCGTGCACGAGAGTCTTCAACATCCTCCCGCAGGTCCCTCCCGGTCCCGCCGCGCCCACTGTAGCTGTCAGCACCACCAAGACTGCCACAGGCAACCCTGGGTCAAATACACACATGGTAGACTCTCCGTGTTTACCAAACAACTTTTTTCTACACATCGCATTTAGCTTCCCTGACTTGGTAAACAAAACGATCATGTATCAGCTAAACCAAGATCAAGGGAGCGCCACGTAGTTTTGTAAAACAGGGTGGACAACAGAGGAAGACAGCAAAAACACGACACATCGCTTCCCCCACTTACCTTTGCACTTTGCCATGCTGTTTCTCTCGTCTGATACTTGAGTCTTCCTCCAAGGGAATATCAGTGGCAGTTGACGCTACAGTTTTACTGGTAGTTGGGTCAAAGACTCAACTTAGATCCAAGCCGTAAGCCTTCTCGTGACGCCTTGTTGCAGTTCCATACTGTTGACAGTAGTATCTTCTACAGCAAGGACACAAGGACACACGTTAACTGACAGTACTGATCAATTATGCAATACGTATCCGTGTAGCCATGCCAGCCTTCTGTGTAAAGGCTCTGTACCGAGCCATTGGTCACTTGAAATGTGATTGGTGACTGGCTGACAGGAAGGTAGGCTGTAGCCTCGTAACCAGACCACCGTGAGCAATGCGATATCCCTTCGGCGCCGAGAGCGTTTGGGGCCGCCAACCAGGCCTCAATTACCGCGCTTCGCTCACAACGCAACAAAATACAAAGCGTAATACCGGAAGTCAGCGGATACAGGGAAACCAGCTGGAGATAGGTCCGTGGTATAACTCGCCTGTGCTTGGTAAAGGCCGGAGCGGAAAAATTACCGCCAAGCCGACCAAAGGTTTGGTACCCAGGCTAGATAGGCCGGGGCTTCTCGAGTTGCAATCGATCCCAGCCCGTATGCACGCCTTGCGTTAGTACCAGATTGAGGATGTGTGTAAGCAAAAGTCTGGCGGCATGTTTCAGGTCGAGTGTTCCCGGTGAAAGCGCGGTTATTTACCCCCTTGGCTAGCGAGCCATCGTGGAGAGTCTTCAGGAAACTCTTGATCGTAGAATAATCGGGGATCTGACGTGCCAGGTCGGGAACCTGTCTGGGGAAAGAGCCGCTGGCCTCAAAATTATGAACGTCAATTGGTAATAATAGCTTTATAACGATAAGAAAGACAATGGAGTTTATAGCATATTCATACCCATCGGGGGCTAAACACACTGTATTTCCTAAAACGGACGAGTATAGGGCGGTTAGAATGGGGGTCAGTTTTCCTCCCGACACGATTTGTTTTGAGAATGTTTACTTGTGATCCTAGTATCGGGGATAGGATGTTAGATAATGAATGAATGAATGAAGACCTTTATTGTACATTTGTGTTCAACAGAACTAAGTACAGGTCGCATGGGTACAGAACATGAACATAAACATATACATTACAAATATATGAACATAATTATAAGAGTGTAAATAAATGTCTAATTTCTATTCTTTTCGGCTTCATCTCGCTTGGTAGTGATTGTATGGATATATGCGGCTGTGAGATTACTTAGAGTAGGTTTATCAAAAGTTAAAAGGAATACAAATTTCTCTTTACTAGTCAAATAACTAAAGTGGGGAAATATACTTAATACATGGCTAAAAAATATGAATCTATCTCTACTATACAAGGGGCAATCTATGGTGAAATGTATTTCATCTTCTATTCGGCCTAAACTGCAGAATTGATAGGTTCTTTGTTCTAGAGGAGTGCGGTTATGTCTTCCTGATTCGATTCGTAATTTGTGACAACTGATTCTTAGTTTTGTAATGGAGGACCTGTGACGTATGTTCGCTAAGTTGAGATATTTTTCTTCGATAATATATTCCGTATATTTTCGTTTGGAGATTCTTTTATACCTTTGATAATTAAGTCTCTACATTGGATATTTGATCCTAGTACTTCACCGCAGTAGAGTAAAATTGGCTTAACTAGGGTATTAAATAGATCTAATGCTAGAGCAATGGATGGGTTGTGGTTTGTTGCTAATGATGATTATATTCAGGTGGGTATGTATCTACAGTATGATAAGAACACAAAGTCATACTTTGTCGTCCTCTTCTTGAAACATGTGTACACGAATTTAAATAGTTTTCCAATGGTATTGATCGTAGTTAGGCGATATTACGTATGTAAACATTTCGTCTTTTTTTAGTTTTGTTAAAGGTGCGTATTCACACATGACGGTGAGAGAACCACAACACACAACCACAACGCATACCTCCGCTCCACTTGTATGGCGCCAGAATTCCCCATAACGTTGTGTAGTGGGCATTAGGCCACAGCAGGTAAATGCTGTGGAAGACATCTTCCACAGACTCCAAATCTAATGCGAGCGGGCGAAAAAAAACAAGGCGGGCCGAAAAAAAAGGTTCCTACATTTCAAAATTTTAACTCAATCATTGTACCGATGGTTTTGATTCAGTGGGAACATCAAATATACACAGCCAGCATCACATATCACTGCATCAAAGAAAAAAATAAAACATGAAATCATAGCCTTTTCTTGTCTCCTCTCTTCATATTTATCTGCCATTATCGGCATGTTGGCCACTGTCAGAAGACAACAAAACTTCTTTCTTTTTTTTTCTTCAAAATCAGGCGAACATTAATGCGAGCGCTGATGTTATCCATAAAAATTACTTGCTGTGGCCTCATAGAACAAAGTATATTACCGTTGAAGAGATTCATTTGTCACGTATAGATACAGTTCCTAGTGAATTCTTTCATCAGTGACAACTTTGGAAGGATAAGGATACTAACCTCCAAATTTTCGATGGCTATCAGTCCATCTTGTTCACGGAGTGGCCTAATCTCGCGTGAGTGCGAGACTAGGCCCGAGACTTGCATCGGTCTGTCGGGACGGTGCACATACAGTTGGAAGGTGCCAAGCTAAACCGGACAGAAGGTTGGGAGCTCCCCAAGACTTACTTACCCCTACTTCGGAGGGAGGCGGCGGGGGGTGGGACCCGACAGACCGATGCAAGTCTCGGGCCTAGTCTCGCACTCACGCGAGACTAGGCCACTCCGTGAACAAGATGGACTGATAGCCATCGAAAATTTGGAGGTTAGTATCCTTATCCTTCCAAAGTTGTCACTGATGAAAGAATTCACTAGGAAAAGTATATTACATTATCTTCGCCAAGACGGTATGTGTACTGTCCGTCTGTATGTGTGTCTGTCGACAGGATGACTCGAGAAGACTTATTCAATGGATTATCTTGATATTTGGTAGGTGGGTAAGTATTGATAATAGCTAAAAATGATTGGATTTTGGGCCTCCTGGCGCTTGTTATGGTACTGCAGCGGTGCCGGTTTTGATATCTCGTGACCTGGTGATGCTAGGGTCATGATTTCTGGATGGTTGGTACCTCGTCCTTTTTCTTAACGTGACCCCCTAGCAAACCTAGGGATTTCAGAAGCGACTCAGCATACTTCCTGCACAGTTCATGCCGGCCGTCGTTGGGAAAGTGTGGATAGGGAGAGTTCAGACAGGGCCGAGCTGTAGTTACTGTAGTTCTGTCCAAGAATGATTCTACATGCTCTCCTCTGTACTCTCTCTATTGACCGACCGGGTGCCACACTTCGCATGCATACTCCAAAACTGGACGTATAAACCCGATGTAGACAAGTAAAAGGATATCTTCTGGTCCAGCTGCTCTCCTCGCTCGCGGATGTTATCCACGCACAGACATCGTACCAAAGAACTGATATGAGGGGCATGTAGTCTGGCAAATACAAGCGTATCCGCATGACGGTCACAGTGTGGTGTGTGTCATGAAGATACGAGTCCAACTGACGTGGCAGCTTTCAAGAGAAAGTGTCAGTTGTCTATGTGCAATAGATTCAACCAATATTTCAGTGTGGAGATGCCTCTAGGTGCTGTCGTACGCGTGTGGCTGCACCACCTGCCGCCATTAAGTGTAGTTATATATTACCTCCATGAAAATGGAGGTATTGTTTTTGGCGCGTCTGTCTGTGTGTCTGTGTGTGTGTTTGTGTTTCCGCACATTTGTAGTCAGCATAACTTCATAACGCCTTTATGGATTGTGATGATATTTGGTATGCTGGTAAGTCTTAGGAAGAGAATTCAACACGAAGCACTAGTGATTATTGCACTCTTTTTATTTTCTACTTGATGGCCCTAAAATTCCATTAATGTCCGCTCATCTACTTCATTGCGCTGTGAAATAAGCCTGACGCTCATGAGGCAGTGGCCGAGTGGCGAGTGTTGTTTTACGGGGCTGTATAGCCGGTATAACTGCCCTTTGGCGAAACACACGAGCTGTTGAAATGTTACAAGCCTTTGGATTTTTTTCCTCTAAAACATCTACAGTTTTTAGATTCGTCTTTTAGCGGAGCAAGGGAGCATAAGTAGGGACATTTAAAAACGGGTCAATTTTCTTAACGCTATACTAGGTGAAGTTTACTACTTATATTGAAAGTAACAAACATGTTACGGTGGTTAGAGTCATGACTTTAAAACATTTTGTTAAACAAGTGGCTACAAATGACAGCAAACACTCCTTTCCTCTTCCCTTAGAAACCCAGGATGCTTTCAAAATGTCGTCAAAACGACAATTTCTTGTCTTATATGCGGCTCTATCTAGACTTCACGACCGTCTTATTTGAGCTGTAACGGCGGTTACAGAAATCTGGGGTAACGAAGGTTACAGAACCCATGGCTATTATTTCGTCCAAGTCATCAACCGTACCTAATGTTACGGTACGTACATTCGTCGTGAAACATAGTAAGGCCACAGCCGAGAATCCAGTCTTTCTTTCTCTGTCTGGCGGCCAGCTCTTCTTGTGGATCCGCAATGTACGTTTATCAGTGAGCAAAGCTGTTGACTGAATCATATGATCACTGATAGTCCACATTTCCAAGCTTCTTCTCCAAGGCTTTTGTCAGTTAGTTTCAGTATGGTCTGCAGAAAATAGCTGGACTCGCGTATACATCTTTTATTTAACTTCAAAATCAAGATCTGTAGCTGTATCTGTATAGCCGGTATAACCGCCTTTCGGCGTGATCGACTTGTTTCACTTAATCCTTGAA